TACTATATATATATATCTTGCATCCGAGATGCTCCATCAAATCTATGCGTGCTCTTGGCTCAGAGACAATTCCATGCCTAATTGCAGAAGACCCTTTAAAGCGTGGATACAGGTGATTTGTTACAAATTTTTCTGGATCAGCATGGTCAGTCTTCGGCACTGAAGAAAATTTACTGGATGGAATTTTTAACTTTCTGATATCAAACCAAAGTTCTGTGTTCTGTTTTTTTCTGCCAATTTCTCGCAACTCGATGGATATAAACAAACATATATAGTATAAACGTTATAACATACAACACAAAGTTCATCCAAATTACAATGATCTATTGTATGAGTAACAGAATGTAAACTTGTTACAGGAAGCTCTTTAGAGTTTAAAATTTTATGTAACATTGTCCCCACACACTTACACAAAGATGATACGGTACACTTTGAAACAAAATTGACAAGGTCACTATGATCCAACAAACCCACAGGTGACTTCTCAGTATTTGAAAGAGAAACAGAACTTGACATAGGGACATTGTTCACTTTATTATTTTCAACTTCATCTGGTTTCATATTGGATCCTTTTCCCCAGCTTACAGTTGTATCTGTACTAGTCACACCGGCCATTCCATGACGCCATGCAAGAGACACTGCATACATAATAGCAGAAAAATAACTACGGGACCTTCCCTAAGCCAGCTGGGCATGTACATGGTGCGGTTTGTACTTCATCAGTAGGCAGGGTTGCTACCCAGGCATTGTAATCTACTCTTCCAACTCCAGGTTGTAATGGCGATACTGCTGCCTTTAAAAAAGTGAAATTGTCAACCTTCAGCTGAAATATATCCTTCAGCCAACCATTCTGTACATAGTTGTATGCATAAAGGGCCCTGAAAGACTTCATCTCCTTTCCATCATACGACTTAGAAAGGATCAGATAATCTACAAGGTCTTCATATGTAAGATGTGGCCAATTCCGAGAATCATTTCTTATCCAACATTCTGTATCTGGTGTCAAGTCTGGAATAACAAAAGTGCAACAAATATTAGCCTTCTTCTAACTTCTACCCTTCTCCACTGTCATGACATGATAATTCGGCCTAGTTAAACTTTTCTATTCTACAGATTGTAGAGGGCCTGCTTTTATAATTTAATATCACAAAGTTTTCACAGTGACAGGAGAATGATTACATTTAAATTGTGGATCTTTCCAAGACAAGGAATATTTTTTGACTTGTAGGCCTGCAATTTAATGCTTATCATGGTTAGAAATTAAAAACTATAGTGGTGAGACCGTTGGCTTAGACTAGGGATATCGCATGGCCACTAATATAAAAACTGAACAAAAAAAAGTAAAATTGACATACAACAAATTGGGGGGGGGGGGGGGGGGATCTAGTAAATCTTGTGACAAAAGCAATCGTTGGATATTGCCGCCATATTCAGATTTTCTTTGTTGACATTCATTGACGTTTGACGTTCTTCAATACCTTATTGGCGGCGATCACGTGACGTCCAAAATGGCGTTTTAATGAAAGTTTTGAGTGTGGTTCATTTTCGGCAAGTCAAAGACAATCGATAATTAAGTTAATTTAATTAAACTTTTTGCATTCCGAAAATATCATACAATTTCTTTCAATTCCAATCCCTGATAAAATAATACAAGCAGTTAATAAACTATTCTTTTCCTTCATTTGGAATGGGCCAGAATATTTTATGTCAAGATTAAAACGAAGGACTTAGAATGATTGATATAAATGAATTTGTAAAAAGTAAATGTGTTTTTTGGTTAAAAAAAATGTTCTTTAATCCTGAACAAACATGGTTATTGACTTTCAATTATATTTTATCCTCTTTCAGTAGTTCAATATTTGTTGCAAGTAACTTTAATAATGATTTTAAGTGTATATCTCGTTTTTATAATGAACTTTTTAGAAACTGGCATAACTTTTTTACTAGATATATTGAAGAAACTACTACCTTTCAAAAACAAATAATTTGGTATAATTCCTCTATAATGGTGAATAATTCTATTTCAAAAGTTTTTATTGAAACAAGATCAGCAATTTATGTATGTATACTTCAAGGTTACTAGTAGGTAAGTACTAGTAGGTATACAAGATCAACAGTGGGGTTAGTAAGCAAGATCAGCAACTAAAGTATGTGAACAACTAGGGAAGATATACAAGATCCACCACTAAGGTAGGTAAGAGATATTTACAAATGTGATATATATATATATATATATATATGTGGTTGCGGTCAGATAACAAAGATCAAGATTTTAAAATATCACTTAAAGGGCAACTAAGATATGGTTAAATAGCGAATCTATTTGATAGTCTTATAAAATCATGTACTGTTTGGAATATATGTGCATTTTCAACTTCACTGAGGTGATTTGAACCATGCAATAGAGTTTTTTCATCTAGATGGTGCTGTGGTAGTGTGAGTAATGTATCTCTTCTCTGGGCCTGATATTTCGGACAGAAGAGCAAAAAATGTCTTCAATGGGATGTCCACATGTACAGGGTGCGAAGTCACCAACGTGTCTTAAGAACTTGTGTAGGTTGAGGTCACTCATTCTATTTCAGAGTCTGCAGTGCACTATTTGGACCGATCTTTCGCCAAGGAAATAATACGATGGTGGAGACGCAATGGATTTTATCTGTAGTTTGAATTCTTTTATACTACATAATGAAGATAGGTTTTCGGGTAATGCGTTCCAATCACGGATAGCGGGTGGTAAGAATGAATCAGAGTAGAGTTTAGACCTAGTAAAAAGTGTTCGTAGCTTGTGGCCATGACGTGTATTGTAGTCATAGGAGGATCCCATATGATGTGGGATAAGTGTGCTAAGGTACTGAGGAACCATGTTATGGATCATCTTATAAAAGAGAATAAGGCGATGTTCATACCGTCTTTGTTTAAGTGAACAGAAACCTGATTCCCTATAAAGCAACGAGTGTGACGTACCAAGGACTAAGCCGGTTATTGATCTGAGGCAGTCAAGATGAAGATTTTCTAGTCGACATGAGTCTGTTTCTGTGCAGTTATCATATAATACATCACCATAGTCAAACAGGGGTAGGATATAAGATTTGTAAATATATTCAAGAGATTTCCTGGAAAGTCTATATTTCATAGAACGAAAACAATTTACTGACTTACTGATTTTACGTATGAGGCTGACAATGTGTTCATCCCATTTACAATTCCGGCTGAATGTAATACCAAGGTGCTTGTGATGCTCAGAATCTTCTAATATGTTATTGTCGAAAGAGAGTTAAAATGAAGAAGGAGATAGTTTCCTAGAGAAAGTCATACTGACCGTTTTTTCTGCGCAAAAGACAACATTCCAAGAGCTTGCCCAATTGCTGATGGTTTTAAGGTCATTGTTTAGAAGGGTTTTGCATTCTGTCGGGTCATTTATGGCCATGAACAGTGACCTGTCATCTGCAAACAGGCGGGTGTTAGATTTGATGTCACTGGTGATATCATTTATATATATCAAGAATAAAAGTAGTCCAAGCACCGACCCTTGTTGGACTCCATTTTGAACAGATGACGAGCTTGAGGTTGAGCCTCTTATAACCACAGATTGTGCCCTTTCAGAGAGATAATCTTTGAGAAGCAAAAGCATTTTACCTCTTATGCCTACTGACTGGAGCTTGTAAATGAGGCCTGCATGCCATACGCGGTCAAAAGCTTTGCTTATATCAAAAAATACAGCTTTAGTTTCGAGACCTTCACCAAGGCTACTCCATCTATCGTTGTATATATTGATAAGCTGGTATGTGCAAGAGTCATTTTCTGTAAACCCTGATTGTGAGACAGAAAGTATTTGCTGTTGTCGGAGAAAATTGTTTAGATATTTATGGATGCATTTTTCAAATACCTTTCCCAGAGTGCTGAGGAGAGAAATCGGGCGATAATTTGAGCAGATGCTAGCATGACCTTTCTTATATATTGGAATGATGTTGGCTTGCTTCCATATGGTGGGAAAGCAGCATTGGTCCTGCAAGAAGTTAAAGAGAGTACACAAAGGAATTGTAATAGATGGACTACAACATTTAAGAATCTTATTTGTTATGTTATCTTTTCCACAGGCCTTTTTTGTCTTCTTGGACAATTTGGTTGTTGATTAGGAGTGGAACAGAGTTCTATATACTCTTTATTACAACTGTAAAATATTTACTGTATCCTGTATATTTATAATAACTAACAGACTTCTATATACTCTTTATTACGACTGTGAAATATTAACTGTATCCTGTATATTTATAATAACTAACAGACTTCTATATACTCTTTATTACGACTGTGAAATATTTACTGTATCCTGTATATTTATAATAACTAACAGACTTCTATATACTCTTTATTACGACTGTAAAATATTTACTGTATCCTGTATATTTATAATAACTAATAGACTTCTATATACTCTTTATTACAACTGTAAAATATTTACTGTATCCTGTATATTTATAATAACTAACAGACTTCTATATAGTCTTTATTACGACTGTGAAATATTTACTGTATCCTGTATATTTATAATAACTAACAGACTTCTATATACTCTTTATTACAACTGTGAAATATTTACTGTATCCTGTATATTTATAATAACTAACAGACTTCTATATACTCTTTATTACGACTGTGAAATATTTACTGTATCCTGTATATTTATAATAACTAACAGAGTTCTATATACTCTTTATTACAACTGTAAAATATTTACTGTATCCTGTATATTTATAATAACTAACAGAGATCTATATACTCTTTATTACAACTGTAAAATATTTACTGTATCCTGTATATTTATAATAACTAACAGACTTCTATATACTCTTTATTACAACTGTAAAATATTTACTGTATCCTGTATATTTATAATAACTAACAGACTTCTATATAGTCTTTATTACGACTGTGAAATATTTACTGTATCCTGTATATTTATAATAACTAACAGACTTCTATATACTCTTTATTACAACTGTGAAATATTTACTGTATCCTGTATATTTATAATAACTAACAGACTTCTATATACTCTTTATTACGACTGTGAAATATTTACTGTATCCTGTATATTTATAATAACTAACAGAGTTCTATATACTCTTTATTACAACTGTAAAATATTTACTGTATCCTGTATATTTATAATAACTAACAGAGATCTATATACTCTTTATTACAACTGTAAAATATTTACTGTATCCTGTATATTTATAATAACTAACAGAGTTCTATATACTCTTTATTACAACTGTAAAATATTTACTGTATCCTGTATATTTATAATAACTAACACAGTTCTATATACTCTTTATTACGACTGTGAAATATTTACTGTATCCTGTATATTTATAATAACTAACACAGTTCTATATACTCTTCATTACGACTGTGAAATATTTACTGTATCCTGTATATTTATAATAACTAACACAGTTTTATATACTCTTTATTACGACTGTAAAATATTTACTGTATCCTGTATATTTATAATAACTAACACAGTTCTATATACTCTTTATTACAACTGTAAAATATTTACTGTATCCTGTATATTTATAATAACTAACAGACTTCTATTTACATAAATATGACAAGGATTAGGTTACAGGCTTTCGCCTATATTATCCCCTAATATAAAATGTACAGTAAATATGTTTGAATAATATAATACGTAACGTATATATAGATATCGCTACATCCACAAGATCAAAGGCGGATAAATGTAAATTTTAAAAACGTTTTGAAAATAGAAGTCATTAACTTAAATATAGATAGCAAGGTAACATACGCCCACTACCAGCTGTCAGAAATGATACCAAAATCTTAAGTGGCCTAATAATGAATTTTCAAATAATCATCTATAAGTCAAGGCAAAAACCTGAAACAGTTCATCAAGTTATCATCAAATTCAAACATGAACGATGGGTGTACACACAATTGCAATAACTCGGAAACTGTTCATCCGATTATTACCAATTTCTAACTTGACCGAGATCTCATCATGCATATCTAGTTTCATCAAGATCGGATAAAAAATGTAGTCTCTATCTTGCCTACAAGGCAAATTTGATGCGTTTTACTAAGTCAAGGGAAATAACTCTGAAACCGTTCATCCGATTATTACCAATATCCAACTTGACATAGATCTCATCAATATAGACGAGAAAAAGAAAGTCGAAAGACGAAAACGGCAGTGATAAATTTGTTCGATTGCCTAAGTTGTACATACCTACCAGGTGGATGAGTATCATTTGATTTAAGAGATTAGTTGAAATATGAAATCGAAAAATGTAGTTTTTGAAAATTTGGTAATAACAGAATGAGTAAGGCGTTTTCCATAGGAGCGACGGACCCTAGACAGGGCATGTGGTCGACTGTAGGTGATGTTAATGACTTGGCATGATGATGAGCTTCTCCATGAGAATGGTTTGGTAGTGGTCGATCAAGATCTGCGTCACCTTAGAGAGCCATGTCTGTTTGGGGGATCTAATATTCTCGTCGACAGCTGATGTTTTCATTACTGGTCGGATAAAATTATCCAACTCACAGACTTCGCGTTTGACGGTGAACGCAGGTTGACCTTTCCTCTGGAAGCTAAAGATTGCTTAGTGATGGAGGCACTGCAGAACTCGGAAGAACACCTGAACAAAGTTTTCTTCCACCTTCGGAGTGGGTACTGGTTGGTGGTCGCTTCTGTTGTTGGTTTGGTCGGCAGTTATCTCCTCTTGGTTGGTAGGCTCGGTTAATATAGGTGGGTCGTCGATGTGGTGAGACATAAGTTGTTGTGTTGCTAGGAGGTCGGCGATTCGTAGGTGGGAAGTCTCGATGAAATACAGGACTGTTGTAGGGTAAACGATGTTTGTTCGGTTGTCTGGCTTCCTCTGGCCAGTGGTCGTTGTAGGAGATCAAGGAATGGATGAATGTCAAAAGTAGACGTAAGGAATGAATTGGAAATATTAGACACTAACATTCAACAAAAATGTTGTCAATGAGAAAATCCCAAGCAATTCGCAAGGGTTTTTGTGTAGTCTAGGTAACTGAATAATATTTCAAAGGTTAATAACGATGAAAATCAGATACAGTAACACGTAGGTCATGTATTCATACGCCATGTAAAAACAAAACAACGTGTCACTTTTTAAAGGTGGTGATTCAGTTAAAAATGAAGGGAAGGGCACGGAGATGCTCCAAATGACATAACTGTGATTAAATGTTTCAATTTAGTTATCACATGAACGTGTTTATCTAAATAATTTTATTTGTAACACGCAATGACATTTTTCAAAAAGGTAGACCTTTAAAGGCCCTATAAAGACAAAGGTTCACGGAATTTATGGAAAATATGCGTTAATGATAGTTGTATGATAAATAGGATCTTTCACTCGAGCTTATGTCGTATGAAATTTGTTGAATTTGTTGCCGGACAATATCAATGAGTGACATAAGTATAGTACTATATAGTTACTTCAATTATATAGTATCTTTTTGTCTTTTCAGATTCAAGGTGATTGTGAACAAATACACATTGTTCTTACTTGCAACAACAGTTCAAAGAAAAATAGGTAATGCCTGCAGTAGCCTGTCCTATTCCTGATTGTCCCTACGTCACGGACGATCTCGATGCTGTTATTGTTGCTGCCCTCCTTAAAGCTCACTGTGATACACACGCACCTGCTGCCAAGGTACAAACAGTTAGAAGACCGATCATATCAACAGGTGGCTCTAGTGAAGAATGGTCTTACTTTGAATCGCGGTGGTCAGACTATGTTGATGCTACCCAAATAACAGGTCGTGACAAGGTGATTCAACTGCTAGAATGCTGTAATGAACGACTACGCAAGGATCTGACGCGATCAGCAGGTGGCAGTCTTATAAACAAAACTGAGCAAGAAGTAATGATTGCCATTAAGAAACTTGCTGTTGGTGATGAAAACACTATAGTAGCTAGAGTCAAAAGTTGGGGGCATTCCATTTCACGTAAGTTACAATTTGTTTTCAATTTGATACCCAATAGTCCATCTCAATCTCATGTATATAGAATGTCAGTCATAGCACAAAAACTAATTTAATAAAGAAACCCTTATTTAAACCATAAACAATCTTATAACTTTTCTGCTTAAAAATATTTGTAGTCGCTGTGGCGTAATTGTTAACGCCATAGCTATTTTAAAGACTTACGTTAAAAGGTAATTTTTTTCTCTACAGTCTTCGCAAGTTTGCTCTTATCTCGAAATTGTCAAAGTTAATTCGAATATCAGCTAGAGACATGTGTGTCGTGACTTCTCTGAAAGTTTTAACTTAAATATTCCTTCTGTTAACTTTTTAACGCCACAGCTATTTAAAGGGCTTACGTTAATTTTTAAGTTTTTATGTTTTTTCGGAGATGCATGAAACTACTGCGCGGATTTTAAACGCCTAATTGTAGAGAATGTGATTCCTATGTGTTTTAAAGATTCCAACTAAATATATCGAGTCTTTCACTACTAAGTATCACATCTAAAATATTCGAAAGACGTATTCACAAGCATGTCTATAACTTCTTTCACCAGAATTCAGTACTTACCAAAATAGAAAGCGGATTCGTGAAAGGAGACTCAACTATCTACCAACTAATTGACTTGAATCATTTCTTTACGAGTGCTACAGACAATTCCAAATAAACATGAACGTTGTTCTGTGACATCAGCAAAGCTTTTGACAGAGTTTGGCATGCTGGACTTTGTCGGAAGCTTATGCTGTTGGGGTCGGGCGGGCTGCTGAGAAGGTTCTAGCGTCCCAGCTCCCGTATATATATGTATGTCTTCTTGTTTATACAGTGGTGTAAAATATATTCGTGCATATAAGGATTCGCAATCGAATTTCGTCAAAATTAAAAATCGCAAACTTTTATTTTATGTCTTAGAAGTTTCCTCAGATATTCTACAAAATAATTAAAATTGGTTTCTTTCGAATTTCTTTATGAATCTCTCATTTTGACCCATATTTCATGAGTAAGCACTCGACAATGGCTGCTAAATGCGTCACCTATTTTCGTTTACAATGTTTATCTTTAATAGTATTTCATTATGACAATTCTTTCAAAGAACAATGATTTAAAAATTACATTGTGACTGACAAAATAAGATAAGTAAAACGTAAGAGTGATTTATTGCGAAAAGTCATTGAAACAACATAAGAATTCGGCCCACATTGTGTTCCGTAGAATTTTTATGCTGACACGGAATCTGCTGGTTTATCACATGGCATCGTTCATTGGACTACATTCTAGCAGACGACACTTGAAGTCCGATTACAGCAAGGGATTATAAGGGGTGCCGATTAAAAATAGTAATATTTGGTAATAATTCAAATCCGCCATTTTGTATTTGTCATGGTATACATTAATACATTTTACTTTGCTTGAAACTACTGGATTCATTCTACAAGCTGACATTGTCGAGATAACTCATGTAAACAAGCAAGTGCGAAGGTCACGCGAGGTCGAACATGTAAATTCATTTCCGAAAATAGCACGAAATGAGGTTAGTTGACTGTATAATAACTCTATTTATGCTCCAAGATTTAGTAGTATATTCTCTTCTCCATTAAGACCAAATAATAACAATCTGATATATTTGCCGATAAGCCCAACTTGTGCTATAGAGAAAACCAAAGAAACGGTTGTGTATGAAAGCGTAACAGACAGTATTGTATTTATAATTAAACATAATATACCTACAGGCCAAGATACGCTGAAACGTCTAAGCGGGTGCTCAGAGAATTCGAAATATAACTGTCTTTAGAGAAATCGATTTTCCACGTTTGATACATCTTTCGTTTGCAGCAGTAGCACCGCCAGATCTTAAAGAATGCAATCCAATATTCAAATGCGGTGCGATAGACTTTAATCTCTCAAGTATGTTTGCTCTAGCTGTTTAATAGATTAATTTCATATTCATATACTTTCACCTGAAAATTGGTTTAAAAATGTAATGATCTGATTTCAAATCTAAATTACACAAATCCATATACCGTTGTAAAATAAGCAATGGACATGCAACTGTGTTTCCTTTAGCAATCAAAATTTCATTTCCCTTCCTGTATTGATCTGTTTTACTGTGTGTTATGTTAATCTTTATATTCGTCATATAATGTTAAATCACAACATTTTAAGTTGCTTAGCTCGTCGTATCTTAAAAAACTTGCAAAACTCAAAACGATCATAGCCAAATCTCTTATTATCATTAAATCATTTGAATCCTTATGCATTTCACACAAATTTATGATTACTCCGACTGGAATTGGGTCCTTCTTAACAATGAAAACATCAGCTGTTGACGCGAATATTAGATCCCTCAATCGGACATGGCTCTCTAAGGTTACGCAGGTCCTGATCGACCATTACCAAACCACACTTCAAGAGAAGCTGACCACCATTCGTACCAAGTCTTTATCATCAGCTGCGGTCGACCGCATCGTTTCTCATGCCCTGTCCTGGGACCGTCGCTCCTATGGGAAACGTCTCACTCAAGCTGTAATCACCAAGTTCTACCAAACAATCAACGAAACAAAAACCAG